GATTGAAATTCCGTGCTGGCGTTATCCTGGTAAATTCGAACTAAGATGGAAATTCCGTGTTGGCGCTAGCTTGGTAAATTCGAACCAAAATAGAAGTTCTGCATTGGTGCTAACTTGGTAACTTTGAACTAAGATAGAAGTTTCATGCAGGTGCTAACCCGGTAATTGATTACTTGGTTGGATCAGTGACATCATCCAAGCTTCTTATGTGTTTTGGAGTGGTCCCAATTTGCATAGAACTTATTATCCTTCTCCTGTACTGCACTGGAGTGGTCTCAAGTGTTTGACATTGAAAACATCATGGGTACGTATATAACTAGGTAGCTTTAGTCTATAAGAATTCTCATTGATGACTTCAACTATCTCGTATGATCCAACCTTCCTTGGTGCCAGCTTTCCATGTTGCCCAACCGGTAGGTGTTCTTCTGTTAAAATGGCCCAAACACAGTCTCATGCATCAAATAATACTTTCTTCCTATATGTACTAAGATGGATCTTTGAAAACCAACTTTTTAAATGTTTACTCAATTGGTCCAAATCTTGTACTACATTAGAATTGGGATAACGATTTTTAATGGTATCCCCACTGACTTTAATATGTAGGTTAACATGAGTATGTGGTAACACTCAACCTATCTGTTTGGTTGCGTTACTTTTCAAATCACCTTGAAGAAGATGAACAATACTGAATATGCAACTACCATAGGTTGGTTAACTCATTTAGATGTCATACAGGTATAGTGCTGACTAACAATGGCCTAAAATGTACAAATTCTTATGCTCACATGCACCCTAAGATTACATGTTGCCCGTCTTCGATTGATTAGTATCAGAAGAGATATCTCATGCTTTCTTGGAGGTTGTTTTTTAGGGTTACTCTTATGAAGTCTCACTTACATGCTCCAACGCTAGGGGTGTCAACTGGACTGGATTTGGTCCAATCCGATCCAGTCCAATGTGAAATCATTACAAATGGACCAGGTCCAATCCAATCCTATGAATATTTTGGACCGGTCCAATTCAATGTCTAGACCATCCAATTTGTTTAAATTCGTCTTAATTTAGATTAGTTCCAACCCAAACTTGGTCCATTAACACTATTAATGGATTAGATATTGGTTCAATCCAACCCAATCCAATATAAATTCCTGATTCAATTTAATGTCTTGTTGGTCCGTCCAATCCATCCAAATTGATTTTGGTTTGAACAGGGTCCAACCCAAAACTAGTCAATTGGCACCCTTACTCTACGCCTCTACCATTACTAGGCCAAAAGCCCAATGGGTTTGTTTTTCCACGTTGAATTTATGATTAGACGCCCACTAGCCCCAAAGTGCTATGCTACTAGTCTATTCTCTTGATAGAATTATAAAAACTTCTTTGTGGTGATAATCTTCTTGAAATCGATGATGGTTATTAATTAAGATAAACAAGTATATAAGAATATAGTCTACTAGCGGGGGATCGTGCGATGCACAGGATGGGGCACCCCTCCTTGTCCTTCGCCCCCATAAGTCAAGACACTCTACTCCACCCCCACCCTAACCCTAGTGGCGGGACAAGTTCAGGGTGAGGCACTCATTCCCCATCGGGGATGGGGAATCCCCAAATTTCCCCACCCTGAGGCAACCATCTAAAAAATCTAATTTATGGATATTTTACAAATAAAATTATAAGAATTTGGGGGTATTTCAAGAATTGGATTATAACAATTTGGGGGTATTTCAGGCAGGAATTGGATTATGACAATTTGGGGGTATTTTATAAATGAAATTATGGGATCTTAGGATTATAAGAATATGAGGAAAACTTAGAAATATTTTAAAAATCAATATTAAAACTATGATATTTTACTAATTTACCATTGGATTTGGGGAATTATATGCAAACCCCATCTCTAATTTGGGCCAAAAATATTTTTTGCGTCCCCCACCCTGCCTCTATCTCGTCCCCGTTTAAGATTTGAGAAAACTTGCCCCGTTCGGGGCAGGGCAGGGTAGGGCCCCAGTTTTATAGGGAAAATTGTCATCCCTATAATTCTAATAATTTTCTACAACTAATTAACAAATAGTAAATTAAATAACAATAAACTACAATATTTTATAATAATTTCTAAAAAAATATTGAAATTGCTTTTCATTAGTAGAAATGTATAGTAAAATAATTATTTACAATCATAATAAATTAATGTAAATTATTTACTTTTTAAGCCTAAATTATTTACTATTAATCAAAGTAAATGTAATTATAGTAAATTAATGTAATTATGGTAAATTACATTATTCTTAATTAAAAGTAAACCATTTATTGCTAATTAATGTAAAACCAGATATGGTCGAAGTCAACCAAGTGGTCTAGATCGGTGTGGATAGACTTAATAATTTTCCTAAATTATTTAATAATTATTTATTTAAATAATAATAATAATGAATTTTATTTAAATAATCATGAAACAAATTCTAATAGATTAATTTCTTAATTTAATTTTCCTAATTTTTTTAATAATTATTTAGTTAAATAAGAATAACAGATTATTATTTAAATAGCTTTGGATAATATTTTTTTCATAGATTAATTTCTTAATTTTTAAATTACTTATTTAAAAATAATTGTGAATTATTAGTTAAAGAGTTTCCCTAAATTATTTGATAATTATTAACTATAATTATTGATTTTATAGAAATTATTAAATTATGCTAATTAGTAATATCTTTTATCAATAAATTATTATTGTAAAAATTTTATGAAAATTTATTAAATTACAATGATTAATGTAAATCACGCTAAAAGTTGAAATTTTGGACATTTATTAATAATCAAAAATTATTTAATAATGGATTGTTTATTAATTTTTTGATAGACTATTAAATTATTTAATATTTGCTAAATAAAATAATTATTTCATAATTTTTGGTAGAATATTTTTCAGAAATTTTTAATAATTTTCATAATAGATGGATTATTGAACAATAGATTATTATTTAAGAATAGATTATTTAACAATAATGGAAAATGCCATGAAAATATATGAAACATCGAATTCCCCTTATTCCCCCTCTCTTTAATTTGCTTGAAATAACATTTATAGATATAAATATTGTTTGATTTGAAAAAAAAAAAATCTTAATAAATTATGGCCCTATTTTTATGGGAAAGTGGAGAGAATAGAGGGGAATTAAAAATAAAAGTGAAACATATATCAAGTAGGTGTTTGGCATCAGTGTTGGGCATGTCTGGGTTGATTTTTTGTTTGGAAGCGGTGCTGCCACATAGGTTGTTTTCTGGGAAAACAACACTGGTTTTGTTTGGTACCAGTGTTGTAGAACCATTTCAGTATTGGTCATATTATCCAACGTCCAAGATGATGCCACATCATTGCACCACTGGCAGCAATAGACTGTTTTCTGAGAAATCATCGAATCCGGCATTGCTTCAGACCACACTTTCCTAATTTCCAAGACATGGTTTGAAACAACATTTTTTATAAATAAATGGTACCAAATAAGAGGCCATTTTCTAAAGCACCACTTTTTTTTATGTGACGCCTACATGGCACCGTTCTCAAAAAATGGCATCAATGCCAAACACCACCTAAGTTAATTAAGGAGAGAAGTTAGGTTGTTATACAAAGTGAAAGACTGAATTGTGGGGGGAGAAAGAGAACCCAATGGGAGAGATCGGCTTCAATCAATGCAAGTCCATGCTCACACAGTCACACCATTCGAACAGCCTCTTACAACCTTACATTGGGAAAATCTCCCCATGAAATAAAACATAGAAGTACGGAGATATTCTCAATGCAAGGCTGTAAAAGCTTTTCGAACAGTATTCAAACAGCCCTTGCACTGACTGAAGCCAATCTCCCAAGGGAAATGGAGAGGAATGAAAAGAAATGCTAAGACAAATTAGAAGTGATGGAAAGGGGGAGAGGAGAGAGAGTCAAATAATGTAGGGTTGGATAATGGAGCAAGGAGAAGCAAAATGCTCGTTCATGAAGTTTGACGTGGAAACAATAGTTAAAGCAACTTCATTGCATTAAGCCTAGAGGACAAAAATTGCACTGGATTAATGTGGGACACATGGTTACAACATTGGTAGTAATCATATATTTTGTAGATCTTTGACATTTCACAGTTCGTTTTACTAACCTTGAAAAAGGTATTAGATTGCTTCTGGGCCAATCTAAGTGTACTCACGGTCACGGTGGTCATACACTGACCAGTCGTGCACCAGGCTATACTTTTACAATCACATATAGCGATGGGTTATATCAAGGTTTTACAACCGTCATTAACCCAGGCGGTCGGACCATTCGGCCTAGACAACCAGTTCCATTTTATCCCAAACCCATTTTGATCAGAAACCATCAAAAAAATCAATAACCCATTGACCCATATGGTCAAACCGTTGACCCATTAACCCATTCAACAGTTATTGACTTTTTTTATTTTTTATTTTTTTTTATTTTTTTTATTTATTTGTCAAAACGGGCCGCCCATTCAAACCGGACAGTCGGTCCATCAACCCAGAAACCGGTGGCCAGCGGTTCCATTTCCAAGTCGTTTTTTAAAACGTTGGGTTATATTATATATGTAAAGTTAAACCATAGCAAGAACCAGAAGGCAGCTGGAGTGGGATCAGACACCCATGACTGATATCCAGCCCTCCTAAGCATTTTACATAGATGGGAAACAAATCCAGTACCAAATTATACCACAATTGCTCAACCCCTTTTTTTAGACCAGAAAATATAAGAATAGTTTTCAGATTTCTACTCGGAAACAAGATAATTTTGTTTTACACTTGAATTTATTGTAAATCCTGCCTCTCCATTTTTCTTATTTTTTGAACCAGAGTTTCAACACATTCTAAATAATTAGCATCTAACAGCTGCAAAATAAAACAAAAAAAAAAAGAAACATAAAAGGTAAAACATTTGACAGCACCAGGAACAACCGAACAATTAATTACGGTGAATGCTCAAAGCCTCGAACAGAAAATGAGAGAAAAGAAATGAATACTTCTTTATAGACGCTTTCATTGTCCTTTTATACATAACAATAAAAGTCAAAAGAAGAGAGGTACAAGACAATTAATGTGTAAATGAACAGATCGCCAATCTGAGAGTTTGTAACTTTAAAGATTATACCTCAATCTATTGTTTGCTTTTCTTTCTTTCTTTTTCCCCCTTTTTTCAGCCTATTTTACAGCCCTCAAGGGATAAGATGGAAATATAATATGGATATACCTATCCGAAAGCTACATACAGGCCAACTAATAAAAGAATTTCACAGCATATTACATGGAAAAATGACAAACAGCTATACGATGAGCCCCCTGAAAGAAAACCCAGGACGGATTAGAAACTCGGCCAAGTTTAAGCAGATCCATCAGTCCATGGTACCAGGTGGATCTACTCTTTTATTATGTTAAGGAAGGCCATGAAAAACAGCAAATTCAAAAAAAAAAAAAATGAAATTTACTTTTGTATGACCTTCAGTTAAAGGGCATGTATATGTTGTTATGAAGTGAAAGCAATGATCCTATCTGCAATCTTTGTGCGACAAATCGGACATTCAGAACAAGCGAGCGAGCAAGGTTTGCACACTGCACACAGTATACCAACGTGATAAATAATCCCAAGTGGAGGAAACAAGGTGATCAACTTAAGACCACTTACAGCAAAAATGTCGGCATGGCAGAAGTATTGCTGCAGTTGGTACTTCAAAGCATACTTTACACATATGAGAATTTGCATCCCCATTCCCAAAGGAATCATGTTCTTTTTCCTTCATCTCTTGCATTCGAGCCTGAAAACATGAGAAGACAAAGGAGCAAATAGTTTGCCTCCAAGTTATCAAACTGCAGAACAATGATATTAACATGTGCTTGTTTTCCAGCTTTCTAAATGCACCATAATTAGTAAACATATTCAAGAGACGTGATGGAAACATAAAATGCATTCCTTTTACAAAAGCCATGGTCAAATTTACTAGGAAATTTGTAAGCATAAATTTCATTTGGTTCCAACTAAAATGAAAATAAAATTAAATAAAACTGGTTTTATATACACCTTTTTAAACATTGTTTTGGCTATTTGTGCACAATATCTCTGTCTAGTTTACTGCCGATGATGTGAATAGCTTGGAGCTGAAAAGAGGAAGAAATAGATATTCCAAAAATCCTAAGAATCCATGATAATTAAGATGGGAAATAAAATGATAAAATAGAATATTAAGCCCCTCTTGTTTTAAATAAAGTGCATAATTAAATTATTGTGAATAGCACAAAAGTGACATTTGGGAAATGAAGCGCATATTTAAGTTCAATTAGCAAGATTAGAGATGAATTTAAACGAGAAGAATCAACCCATGCGCATATGAGATTTATATCAATGTTGTCAACCTTTACCTTCAACTGAACAACCAGAGGTTCCAGATCAGCTCCACCCTGAACCGTTTTCGTGTCATCTGAAACTTGTATCTCATCTATGTTCTCACTGTCATGTGTTTTTACATCATTTACAAGGTCTACTCCATTTGTAGACCTCTCATCGGAATTCAACTCCGGGATGGCTCCCCCCTCTTTCTTCAACTTTGCAACAAGCACCCACATTCCTGCTAAATCATTTTCCAGAGCTTCCTCTCTTTTCTTTGCCTCATCAACCTTCTTTCTATATTCCTCTTCTGCAAGTTCCTTTTCGGCTAAAGCAGCCTCAAGAGCAGCCTCTCTTTGTTTTCTTGCTTGCAGCTCCATCTTCACGTCTTCTGGATCAAGATTCCAATATTCAAGATCATCATAAACTGCACCATGCATTTCATTGCCTCTAGTAGAAAGCCGACCTTTTCTGCCAGGCTTAATGCTATCAATCTTGCTATCAGAATATTTGCGAATAGCACCATTACTGGTTTGCATACCAGCACCTCTAGAATATGCCATATCTTGAGCAGCCAACAATTCTTTTGCTTGTCTTGCATTCTGTAATGAAAGTTTAGTAACTTCTCCTGCCAAATTTTTCAACTCAACAGCAGCAGCAGATGCCAATTCCTTTGCATATGAAGCTTCTTCTGCTAACTTTTGATTCTGTACACGCAAACCACTGTTCTCTTCCATAAGTTGAACATGTTCCAGCTTTAACTTTTCATTCTCAATTTCCTGGGAAGAACAGCAAGCACACATATATGTTAGTTACAAAATCCAACTGCCCAAGAATGATGAAAGAAAAGCATAGGAATGATATAAGGTACATGAGAGGACACAATATCCAATTTGTGGTGTCTACAGGAAGTTAAGTACATCTTAGCCACCATGTTAGAACCTGTCACTTTCACCTGGGGGGCTGCATTTTTTATGCCTTTTTGTAATGAACCCAACTTTATTTGACAAAAACTGCACAGGTTTATCAAGTTAAGGAAATAGTGCAATATGTCCCAGGGTTCTGATAATATTGTCTAATTTGTAACAAATAATAAAAAGGATTTGGTACAAAACAACACAACAATTTCTTGCCGTGAACAATGGAACCCACTTTCTCTCTGAATTGCTGACCTTCTACTGGTGTGGAAGCCGGTTGAGAAAGTCAGAACCAACCACAATAAAGAACAACTTGTGAGTTTTTCTAATTCAGGAAAAATAAACTCATGCAGGACCCATTTTTCCAGAACATACTGCCAAGAAAACAGCTAGCACTGAATACCACCTAAAGAAACACTATCTAGCTCAGCCTTGTATGCGTGTCAATCTGGCAGCACACATAAAAGGGGAGGTAAGAATGCTACAGGTGCCAGAATAAGCATGACCTCAACAAGTTCAGATTAGCATCTACCACCAGTCACCTGACAACGTTTAGAATGTCACCAACTAATTGGGGGGAAGGGAGGGAGGTTGCAGATTTTTCCCATCTCTGAAAACACTATTGAAGTAGTAAGAGTTTCTTGGCCAAGTTAATGGTATTTTTATAACAGTATAAGTTTTATTGTTGCAGAATAAATAACTTTCATGTTCATCAATGAAATTCCACCCAAGCTAATACTGCTTCCACATCGTTTTCATAGAACACAGATAAGAAAACATATTACAAAAAGGGGAAATATAAATATAACTTTCATGTTCAATTCATCAACATATTATTCATAGAAGCACTTCATAGAACACAGATAAGAAAACATATTACAGAAGGGGAAATATAAATTATGAAAGAGGATGCAATTTGCCAGTAAAAGTAATTGAACCAATGCCATCAATGATCACAACAAGGTTAGTCTATGAGAATGTACAAATATAGATGCAATACATGGCAGATTGGTTATTCAACACCAAAGTCATCAGCAAAAACCAACAAGTAAAGTTGCAGAAAGTAAAGATGTCCATGGTATGCTGTTTCCAGCAAACCCCAGCAATCACCTGAGACTGGATTTTCTTTTTCAATTCATCAACATATTCTTCAGAGAAGCACTGGTCAGATGATGATTTATCACTCGATACTGAAGCCAGCTGCTGCTGCAGGAGCAGTATTTTCTCTTGCAGTTCCTTGTTCTCTGCACACTGTTAGCAATTATGGCAATCAAAAGCTTTGTTATAACCTAAGAAAGGGAGAACCAAAGAAGTAAACCAAATACCTTCAGACATAAAGTATGCTTAGTAGCATATTCCAACTTGCAGAAATAAATTGTTCAACAATTGGAACAGATAAAAAATGGATAATGTTTCCTAACAAATATGAAGTCTTTTTATATCAAAAGTCAAAAAATTAAAATACAATGCCCGAGACAATAACCTTATCCTGTAACTGTTCCTGGAGGATGCGATTGTCTGCTGATTTTATCTGCATCCATTGAAATCCACAAATTAATCAACTGACCATATAATACAACTGAATTGTAAACCAGTGTCCTACCATTACCATAAATTACTTAGGCTGTATTTGGATTGTGAAGGTGGAAGTGGATTTGAATTCCATTTGGAATTCTGCTAAAATATGGAATTCACAGGCTAAAAATCTCCATTTTTCCAAATTCTTCTACACCGAAAAACAGACCCAGATAACATAATCCAGAAATTAGCAGATTGGAAATTATTCCGCAACCAATTTCAAATCCACACTAAACCAAGTTCAACCTTAAAGACAATACTCAATAATATTCTAGCAATAGAAGTTTCACAAAACATTAAAGCTGTAAAATAAGGTGACTTCTGTGATGTTAAATATATAAATAAACAGAATTAGATGCACACCTCCAGCTCAAAACCCTTCTCATTGCATTGAGTCATCAATCTCATAACTGTCTGTTAAAAAGAAAAAGGTAAGAAGAAATTTAGTTGATATGATAGTGAACAATAATATCCAATAAGGCAGAAAAAGGAAGAACAAAAAAGAGAGCAATACCTGTTGCATATCAACCAAGGATGCATTAGATATTGACGCTTCACCACTCTCAATAACTCGTTGCTCTAAGACCCTCATTTGTCTCCTTTTCTCTTGAATTTCAGATTCCAAGTTCTGAATCTGAATTTCAGAAAACATTGCAGTAGTAAATTACAACTTGAGAAAGAAAAGAAAACATCATATAAGAAGCACGCTTGTAAATGCACCACTGTCCCACACTGTGAACCAATACCACACCTAGATATTACTTCAAGTTAATACACGGCAACACTTGCAATACCATAGGAGTTCTTTGTGACAAAGTTGAAATACACTAACAAAAGTTACATGCAACAAGTAAACACAAGGAGACAACATTACAAGAATGGTAAGGATGAATGCAATATATGAAAATTAGTGTTATAGCCCTAAAAGACATGTAGTCAAATTACATACCCCCCCCCCCACACACACACACTTGAATTGTAGAAAATTACAAATATAAAAAAAAAAAATAACAAAAAAGAGATGCATTGAAAGCTAATGGAAGAGTGGACAAGGACTGAATATAACCCTGCTGATCCATTTAATGATACATGAATGGGAGAAAAATCTGGATCAAATCCATTTTACCATCGGAACCAAAAAAAACCCATTTAACCTTAGGCCAATTTAATTTGGCAAAAGTGTAAAAATTGTCTGAATCTCTTATTTTATCTAGGATGAACTCTGACAGGAATAATATTCTAGCTTTGAGACTCAAGTATAATGACATGAGTAAATGATACTTAGACAGAACAGAAGAAATGTGTACTTGAGATTTTGAGCCTTCAGGATCATTTACAGACTGTTCCATCAAGCGTTTAAGAGTACTGGTGCTGAATGCAATCTCTCCAGCTAGCATCTTAACTTGTTCAACAAGTAGATCCATCTCATCTGAAGTCATCCCACCCTGAATTTAAGATGAGAAGACTAAGATATAAATAACTGAATTTAAGGGTTCATGCTCAAAAACAACCAGTGGAACAATACAATAAGAAAAGCTATATGGAAAAGCATACAATCCAAACAAAGTTGAAAATCGTGCTTTCACACAATATATCTTAATTATAAACTGCTGAAACACGGGCCACACACAGGAATACTGCATACTTTGAAATGTGAAGATATCAATAGTAAAACATTATCCAATTACAGGTAAACCAACTAAACTGAACTGCTGTGTTTGATTAAGTTTGGCATTCATAAGATAAAATTACAGAAAGCAAGCAAGTTAAACATACCTTTGGCAATTTTGAAACACCAGCAGTCCCACTGATAAGTTCACCAACTTGAGTAGATTCTGTAATTGAACTGCTGATTGATGATAATTCTTCATTCCACTTGCTTGAAGATCTCCTGTGTTTGGGATCACAAGAAGGATCTGATGCCACTAACAAAGCAGATGGCAAGTCTTTCTGGTTCTCGCATTCAGCGAGCAATGGAGAACCCTCACGCAAAACATCCAATTTCTGACATAAAATGAACATGTCAGCATAAAAACAAGCTTTCCGTATGAATATGACATGTACACTAAATGATAATATCTATTTCATTTTCATAAGCTATATATATATATCAGTTTCTTTTGGGGGGAAGGCAAGATTTTTGAGTTGATTTGTTGTCATCATTCTTACTAAGAATTGTTGGGAACAGCTAAAGAAAAAATCTGTTAGAGAGGAAAGGCAAGATTAAGAATGAGGATGGACAATTCATTACCTCAAATTTTTGTTATTCCCCAACATAATATCCCTAAATCATTCTCTCTTTCTTAGCTAATTTTTATTTATAATGGAAGTTGATGTCATTATTGCATTCTTTCAGAAGTATTAAATTGTTGTTAGCCTCCAAATGCTCAAACAAAAATGCAGTTAAAAACAGGGAGAGAGAGAGAGAGCATAAAAGAGTGGAAATTTTTCTTAACTTTCATGACCACCGGAATACAAACTTACATCATCTTCACTAGCAGAATGTCGTCGCTGATGATTTGGCACATCACTCAAGCATCCTGGAATGGTATTTTTTGTTGAAACAAGTATTAATTTGGTTAGCCTTTGGATTCTACTCATGAGAGCTGCCTTTGCTTCTTCTTCTTCCTCTAACCTGGACTGCATTTTAACTTGACCCTCTTCCAACTGTTTGAAACAAAACAAAATGGTATAAATAGAAAGTTTGGAACTTAGCTACAGGGTTGAAAGGATTGCAAGAGAGTTAAATGCTGAATTCAAGTGGGTAAGGAATGCAAATGGGTTAGCTGACTCCCTTGATAAACAAGGGACAGCAAGGCAACAATTGTTTTGGGCTTCTTTGTAATCTAGCTTATGTTTTTTGGGGAGACACCCTGGTCATCAAATTGTAATGCTTTTTCACGCAATCAATTAATAAAATAAAATTATTTGCTGATCAGAAGAAAAAGTTTTGGAACTTAGCTACCACTTTTTAGAGAGCAATGCACAAAATCATCAAATTAGACATGACAAAGATACCTTCTGTCTCAAGTTCATGATCTCTTCATGGCTGACACCAACAAGCATCCCCTTCCTCAGCTGATCAAGTTCTTGTTTGAGGCTTGAAATTTCTCTTTGATACTTCTTAATCAATGACTTCTCATCAATAATCTGAAATAGCAAAAATTCCCAAAAGAATGTAATTGCAAGCTATCATCTTTGAGTGTTCAATTTTTGCGACTGGAAATAGTATCTTATAAAGATGGCATACTAAAATTTATATGTACCCTATTTCGTGAAGCATATATTTCCACTCGTTTTGCCCTACTTGCAAACTTCAACGTATTGTGTGTCTCCTCCATATTACTAGATGCAGGAGTAACTGTGCATATGAGCTGTAAGAGACCAATTACTCAACATTATGAAAGGTAATTTAATATATAGAAAAGCATGCAATTAATTTAATCAAATCACCACTTTAAGACCATCCATGGAAAGAAAAGAAAGAGAAAAAGAAGACAGGCAGAAGAATGTGATTTTATGTGGGAAGGATACACTTTGTGAAGCTTGAATAAGTGACATAATTGCCTATAAGCCAGAACATTGTTCAACACGCATTGCTCTACAAACTCACCGAGACGTGTCCATGGCCGCTCAATGATGATTGCAGAAGGCGGGTGAGTTTGGAGTCACGATATGGAACATGAGAAGCTTTTCCCTCACTCAGTTTTCCAATTACCTTCACATTTCAACTTCATAATGAGTGCATGCTCTTGAAAATGACACTTGGAAACATTTTCGTGTCTAACAGAAGTCCTTAATGATACATCCTCATTGAGGCAGAGAAGTGGAAAATCATGTACATGTAAACAAAGAAAGAATGGCTCCATGCTTCAATCTCTCTGAGCATAATGCCAGTGAAAAAGGAAAAGATAGATTAAGTATAAAATATAAACCTTAAATAATGTATTAAATGCTTCAGTTTAGATCTATTGCACTAGCAAACTAAAAAAGGGGCATTACCCAATGTTGGTCCCAGCTATCTAGGGTCTTGGGAGGGGTGGGCTGGATACGGACCTAACCTTTGGCATTATTTTGCACAAAGTGGCCGCTCTCAGACTCGAACCCGCATTCACACGCTTGTCATCCCGAGATTTTACCATTGCACTAGCAAATTCAACAGTTAAAAACCAACTATATAGTATGCAAATAGATACAAGAACCTACAGTTCCAAGAGTTAGAAGGCTTTTGTTTATGTAAGATCCTTCTTTTCTCCTTAGTCCTGTAGTTTCAGTCTTTGAACTCTCAGATCCTGCTAGATCAATCAAATTCTGCAATAAATGTATAAAATAAAGTAAGATGAACCAGCAGAAGAGTGAAAGGAGTCACTCAAGATTAAAGAAATGAGAAAAAATTCTTAGCATACAAGTTGAGAAAATATCACTCCATCATATTCGTCGCCATGGGCACTACTTTCAATCATCTGCAGGAAAATATAATGAATGAGGAGATGATAGATGCATGAACACAAGTAAGATGAAATCAAGTACCAAGAAACACTGAATCAGACTATGAAATTGGTATTAAGTGTACTTCAGTAAGCAATTTTAAATATACATCATCGGGCATGCATAGAAACACATGATAAAAAAACACATAGAATCACCAGAGAAAATCAAGTAAAATATGTTTTTTTGAGAAAACTTTAACCAGGACTCATTAAAGGAAGAAGAGGTACATGAGAAGATGTACAAAGCAGGGGAAGAACCCCAACATTTGAGGATTTAATCAATTTTGTGTAGATTTAACAGTAATTTTTTATATGTTAATTGTTAGATAGGAAGTGGGACCACAGCATTTATTTTAGGTCCTTCGCTGATTGTTTCTTAAGTCGTTTATGTGTTTTTTAGATGCTTGCTGCCCTATAAGAGCATATTAGTCATTGTACTCCACTTTATATTTTTAACATAAATACTAGTGAAGGGGGTGGCCAGAATTAAGCTCTCTTTTTCTTTCTCAAATCTCTTCCTCTTCTTCTTCTTCTCTCTCTTCTCTTCTTCAAGAAAATATCTTTTCTTTTACAGATTTTTAATTCAGCAGATTTCTACTATTACAGAGGAAGCTTGTTGCTATACAAATGATCCAAATACATGCCACATTTGGCTAAGCCATCTGTTGTATGACTGTGTTCCCTAGGAATCCAAACTCATTTTACATTTAAACAGTCCAAAGAGTCCCTAGCCTCTGCCAAGTAGTGGCTCAACCTCCAAGCCCCCCTCCCCCCCCCCTCTTTGTCTCTTGACCATTTTATAGTATTTGCTGAATCACCTGCAATGATTAAATTCTGGATTCCCAAATATTTTATTATTCTGATTCCTGTGAGAGCAGCCATCACTTCAACCTTTGTGGAATCAGCCAAACCAATTGGACCGCTAAAAGTCCAACAAATGTTGCTCCTTTCATCCCTTACTATGCCTCCAATACCAGCTAATCCAGGGTTACCTAAAGCACTTCCATCAAAGTTTAGGGTCATCACTCCTTCACTAATGGGGTCAAGATGTCTCAAGGTTGTTTGATGGAGGTGAGGGAGAAACAGGAAGGGGTAAGCATCTCTATTGAGATCATTGACTGAGAGTCCTTTGAACAAATCTAAATTAACAATCCAGAGGTTGCAAAGGTAAGTAATGTCCGAAATTAACTCCTCCAGGGACCTGAATTTGTTGTCAAAGAGACGTTTGTTTCTTTCATCCTAAACTCCCCACAAGACTGCATGTAGCACTGATTGCCAATAAACTTTACCCCTTTTACTTAAACTTGTTCCTTGCCATTGATGCAGAAAGTCCATAATGTATTCTAATATAACCCAGCTGTAACCTGCCATTTTCAAGAAATGGAACCAAACCTTTTGGGTGAACTTGCAGTGAAGAAATATGTGATCTGCTGATTCACCTTCACGGAAGCATAAAATTAAACATGACGAGAGATGGACAATCTTCCCAAATACTTTTTCTGTAAGAGATCACAAGTATTTAATTTCTGGAGACAAGCTTCTCAGACAAAGAAACAGACTCTTGAAGGGATGTGGCTACACTGGATCTTCTTAAATGGAAAGGAGGAATGTTGTTCATCAGCAATCAAAACCATGAACATAGACTTGGAAGAGAATTCGCCAATAGGGTGAAGGGTCCAGATTCTGGTGTCAGAATAGGAGGGGGAGATGTAGGCTTCTTTAAGGGTCTGAATTAAGTTTATTAGTTTAGAAATCTCCAAGTCCCATAGACGTCTTCTAAGTCAAAGGTTTAGGGTGTTCTCGGCAGTTTGGTCTGGAAAGCAGGAAGAAACATTGGCTTCTTGGTCAAGGGTGAGGTTAAAAGGTCTAGGGAATGAGGCTGCAAGGGTAGTTTCCCCCTACCAAAGGTCCTTCCAGAACTTTATTTTAGAACTGTTGGAATAATGTTAAAATAACTTAGTTGCAGATGTTAGGGCCTGTTTGGCTAATTAAAGTGTTTTT